GTAAAGTAAAGTAAAGTAATGTAAGGTAAAGTAGAATAAAGTAACGTAAACTAAAATAAAGTAAAATTGAAGCAAAGTGAAGTGATTAGTAGTGGAGCAAAATAAAGCAAAGTTAAACTAAATGTAGCGAAGCGGCATGGCCTGAAGTATATAAGATAAAGTGAAGTAGGCTTATGTGAATTAAAGTATAAAAGTGAAGTGGAGTAGATGGGCAACGTTGCCACGCTACTCACGACTTGGTATCGAATTCCATTGACCCATGTTGTTGACGGTGAGGTAACGAGGGTCAGTGACTTTCCAATCACGATGCGTAACGATGCCATTCAAGTGCCAACTTGACCATACTTTCCATGAGGTTCATTCCCACTGATGCTTACAAGCTTGACACATTCGTTATACTCATTGCCTCATTCAGACCTACGTCCGTGATTACGCTGCTTCAGCCTTTCCTTGAGATGTTAGGCCTTCCAGACCATTGAAATTGACGTTGAGCTTTGTTGAAATCGGTGCAGGTTTTAACTGGTGATTTGGTGCCATGACTTATACACACACACTCACACAAACATTCATGAATTGAACCTGATATGTAAATGAGCCAACCAAATCATGCGTTATCCATCCGTATCCACCTTCTTTTGTGGTTGCGATTAGCTATAACATGGGTTTTGAAACGATTACAAAGTCTCGAAGACATATTCCAGTCAGTTCGAGTCTGACAAGCTGATGAAGGAGTGATAACTGAATTTCACACAACCATATGAAGAAGCTTTGTGTCTCCATTGCATTTCACTTGGTCTTACCCCCCAAAAGCTATTTAATGCAAAATTCAATTCAATTGTAGATACGAAGAGAAAGTGGGTTTCGATGAATCTCTTGAGATAACATTGTTAGAGGGACTTTCATTTCGTATGAAAGTGAATGAAGAAGAGATGAGGACGAATGAATCTCGTTGTACTGTGTCAAAATGGATATCGTATAAAAGCCAAACGGCTGCAGTACAGCGACATTCATCCGTCCTCATTTGTTGAGATCGAGTCCCCCTAAGAATGTTATCTCCAGAGATTCATCGAAACCCAGTTCCTCTTAGTATCTACAATTGAATTGAATTTTGCATTGCATAGCTTTTGGAGGGTAAGACCAAGTGAAATGAAATGGAAACACGAGGCTTCTTCA